AAAAAGTTTGCATATTTTTAAATAGGACAGCACATACGATTTATGAGATATTCTTAGGTAATTTTAATTTTACTTTCATATATAACTAATGTAAAGCACAAATAAATAAATGAAGGAAAAAAAAAGTTTAAAAAAAACCTCTCCTCACACTTCTCTCCACTGACATCTCATCCCTTCTCCAAACTATCTCACAACCAACTCATGGACGTCTCATCCCTTTTCCAAACTATCTCACAACCAACTCATGGTCACGCCGGTATATCAGGTTCTGCAGAAAAGAAATAGAAAAACAAACAAAAATGTCAAGATTTGAGGAAGAAAGACATTTTATGATTTGAGAAAGAAAGACATTTTATGATAGAAGCATATCTAAAGAAATGTCAGATTGTTAAGCTATATTAGATTTTTTAGTCAAGGTATATATTAGATTTTTTCTTTTTTTTTTATTTTAATTTTATTTTCAGAAATCACAGCAATTATAGCTTAGATCTTCCTCTAACTCCATTACAATAAATGAAATATAGAGGTAAGAAATAGAAGAAAAGAAAAGAAATACATAGATAAAGAAAGAGAAAAGATTTTGAAACAATAACAAAAATAGGGCTGAGTAAGATTTTGGGTTTAGTCCAATAAAAATTTGGGAATAGAATTTCAAAAAAAAAAAATCTTTTATTTTAAATCTGTGTTTTTATGAAATTTTATTTTAATTCTATTTTTAGAAAATCAAATAATTATAGCTGAGGAAACTTTATTTTATTTCTATTATTAAAAAATCACCATAATTATAGTTTAGTTCTATTTGTTAGGTCCAGGAAAGGTCCAGGAAGATAAACAAAATGGTTTGAGTAAGATTTAGAAAATGATTTAAAAACAGACAAATAAAAGTATGGGAATAAAATTAAAAATTTTATTTTATTTTATTTTATTTCTATTTTTAGAAAATATTTATTTTAATTCTGTTTTTTAGAAAATATTTATTTTAATTCTATTTTTCAAGAAATCAAACAATTATAGCTTAAATTTTTTTTAGAAATTATAGATTTTTTCTAATCCAATCTTCCCTAATTTCTTGCAACTATGTCAAACATATACCAAAAGATTTAGAATCCATTCACAAAAATAGGTATGAAATTTTCTGTTCTTTTATTTTAATTCTGTTCTTAGGAAATCACACCAATATCTATGCAATTACTTAGATTAAGTTAGAAATTATCATATCCTAGACATACATAGAAACATAATTAGAAACAGATTTTGAAAACAGAATTGATTAACAATAAGCCAATAAAAATATGGGAATAGAATTAAATTGGTAAAAAAAAAGATTTGCACGTAAAAGGAATTGATTAATAGAATTCATTAACAAAAATAGGAGAAAAAAAAAATGTGGGAACAAAATTAGAGTAAACACAAAAGGATAAATACAAAGAAAAAAGAAAGAAAGATTCAGTGATTTAAAAACTAAAACTAAATACAAACACAAAAATAAATATAAAGAGAAAAAAGAAATGCAACATCTAGAGAATAGAATTAAATGATACATGCATATAAAAGTAAATATAGAAAAAAAAAACTTTATGTGAATAAAATTAAATGATAAAATAAAATTGAATTACAAGAAAGTACCATGCAAGTTAAAAATATCTATTTATTTCTTTTACCAGTAACTTGAATAATCAGTAACTATAGAAAATGAAACTTTTAGTAAAAATAGAATGATATAAATATATATAATATTCCAAGACTTTAATCCTACAAAAATTCTAATGTTCGCATAAAATCTAACACATGGACCATGGTAAATATGAGGAATAATGTTACAGAAGTTCGAATTTGAAACTGACGTCATGAGCTCACATAGGTTGACTTGGATTTCAAGGGACAAACTGATGTCATGAGCTTACATAAGTTACTTAGATTTCAAAGGATAGAATTGAACTTTAAATTAGTGACAACTTAAGTTAATAAGTTAAGCGGTCTTATTATAGGATAAGCTAGAAATTGTATGAGTTACAATTTATGATGTATGAGCTATGATAATATATGAGTTATGATGATGTATGAGCTATGATAATATATGAGTTATGATGATGTATGAGTTACAATTTATGTGCGATGCACATGATGGCTTTATGATGAGTACGATTTTTGCATGACATTTTGTTTAATATGATGATGTTTTCCATATTTAGCATGCTATATGATGATGTATGTTATATTGCATCATGTCGTTAGGTCGACCTAGGACAACCCTAAGAGCATGAAAAGGATATTAATATAAATATCCACGATCATGTGTTACTTAATGTAACAAAAAGATGAGACTAGAGGGTTGTGTCAAGAAATACATTATGATAGAATTTAGAGAGACCACATGCATGTCGTATGTTCATAAGCATATTTTAGGTTAGAATAGTTGTTTTGCATTTCATTGTTTTAAATTATTTTGTATTTGTTTTTATTTTCTCTAAATTTTAGTATTTTGTATTTAAACACGTAAGACCATGACTGTGTTTTTCAGAGAAGAAAATGTTTTTAATGTTTTCAATATTTATGACGTTTTCTTTTAAGAGTTATATTTTTGCATGAGAAATGAGTTTGAGACATTAGTAAAGACTCTGAGTATGTAGAACTTTAGGATCGTTACAACTAATAGACCACTTTTATATTGTATCATTATAGACTTTTAAAAATGAATACGAAAACAATTATTGATAGAAATAAAATTAAATACGATACATTTATCACTTTTAGTCTATTGATAAGATAAAAAGATGATAAACATATCAATTACATTTACTAGTGATAGATGAGGATAAAAAAAATTAGACACAGTAGATTTATCATTTTGAGAGGTTTGATGATAGATAAGTGGTTTTCTTAATTTTGTTATCACGCATCATTTATTTAAATATGATTAAAATTTGATAATTTAACCGTAACTACTTGATAAAAAATAATAATAATAATAATTTATTTTATAAAATTGCATAATTTAAAATTATTTTAATAGACATTTATTTAGCCTGCATTTTATAAGCATTCAATGTGATATACAAGAATTTTAACCATCACATTCTCTATCGAACTCATTAAATATTAGTCATCTTTAAATCAATTTAAAAAAACATGGGACGGGTGTTAATTAACCAGCTCCTACATAATTGAGTGGGACAGGTGTTAATTAACCAGCTCCTACATAATTGAGTATCTAAATTTGTGGATTACTAAAGCACAAATCGTGACTTAAAAAAAATTTTTTTTAAAATAAAATAGATGGGAATAATTAGATATATTTCTTACCAGGCATAATTAGTTTCCAAAAAAAATTATTGGTTACCAATAAATTAAGAAAACTCATCCAAAAAAAAATATCATTATAGATAGTAAAAAACTCATCCAACAAAAAATATCATTATAGATAGTAAATTGTTTAAAGATGGAAATATATTTACCAACCCCTATTACTACATTTCTAAATTAGTTGTTCACTAGAGTTTATATAAAATTGTGATTTCATAGTTAGAATACTTAGTGTGAAGACAAAATGGGCTTGCTTAAAAATGTCAATATGGTTTCTGCCTTCTTGTTGATCTCTCTAGTTGCTATTTTGTCAAATCTCAATGGTCTCGAGGCAAAGTGGGATGAGGGTGGCAATGTGCTTTTTTTGGGTCTCAAAAGACTAGTACCAACCGGACCAAATCCAGCAACATCTCCTGAAAGCCCTCCCTCAAGTTTAGGCACCAAAAGGCGTGTCCCAACTGGGCCAAATCCAGCAAATCTCCCGAAACGCCTCCATTGGGTCTAGGCACGAAGAGGCGTGTCCCAACTGGCCCAAATCCAGCAACATCTCTTGAAATCCTTCCCTCAAGTTTAGGCACCAAAAGGCGTGTCCCAATTGGACCAAATCCAGCAACATCTCGCGAAACGCCTCCATTGGGTCTAGGCACGAAAAGGCGTGTCCCAACTGGTCCAAATCCAGCAACATCTCCTGAAAGCCCTCCTTTAAATTGATTATGAGCCCTCGTGATAGTAGCAAGTTTAATTAGGGTCTCTAAAGATGTATTACAATGAGGCCTCTAACAGATATTACAATGAGGTCTCTCATGTTCTATCTTATATCTAAGGAGATGAACCACCTTTATGCCAAGAGACTTTAATAATGGGCGTGAAAAGATAATTTAGTTTTAAAATCTTTTTAATCTAAAACTTTTATAATAAGATTTCTTTACCTTTTAGTCAAAAGCTACGCTACCCACAAAGATATAATTTTAATTTCTACATTATTGATTAAGGTTATATAATTTAACAATGATTTATATTTGTAATTATTTTGTAATAACTTGAAACAAAATTTTTCTCTTTTTGTTTTAATTAAATGGTATTTTTATCTCTTACTTTTACTTTTCTTTCCTTTTCCTTTCTTTTTGTTTGTTTTCAATTTCATCTTTTAGGTCACGATCCGACTTTCGAAGCCTCAAAAATCGAGTCGTGACATAAATATGAAAAAACATTGGCATAAATATGAAAGTTTCTACCAAATTCATGCGACTTTGAACATCTTCAAATGATATAATATATGTTAATTAGTGAGACTTTTAGCTTTTCTGCCAAAATTTAATGGGTTAAAAAACTTGCATATTTTTAAATATGACAGTACATAAATTACAATTTCTGCTATATTTTGACCGAATTTTAATTTTACTTTCATATATAACTAATATACCATTTTTATATTGTACTAGTATAGACTTTTAAAAATGAATACCAAAAAGAATTGTCGATAGAAAAATATTAAATAGGATAGATTTATCTATCACGACCCGATTTTCGAGGCTTGGAAAAACCGAATCGTGACTAAAAAGACGAAATCGAAAACAAATAAAAATTTAAAAGAAATAAAACAGTGGATGAAAATCTAATAAAATTTAAATCAAGAAAAATGAGTCAACGACACCAAAATTAAATACAAAATTAAAGTCAAATATTACAAGGGGAAATACAATTATGAAAGAAAAATACAAAAGATTCTAAAAGACCGACAAGGGACTGACGCTCCGGAACGATACCCCTATGTGATAGTGCAGCTCTTGAACACCTCCCCACTCGACTGGTACCTGAAAAAAAGAAGGGGAAACGGGGTGAGTATAAAAATATACTTAGTAAGCAACCTACTTGTAGGCTCTTAATCGAATCTAAATTAAGGAGAGAACCACCAACTATACTCTAGACCCTAGAGTTTCAGTACTCTCAGTACACAGTTCAAGGCGGAAGGACTTAGCTTTTAAAGCGGTATTCCACGTTTGAGGATGAGGTGCTCCCTCATATCTACCTGTACCACTCGTACAACAGAGCTAGAATTAGTCACTGCATGGTCAACATCCTTCCACAGGACGGACCTATCATGCAAGCGACCTTGACCCACTCGCGTGATCAACATCTTACCATGAGATGGATCCCCATGCAGAGTAGTCGATCTACCACTGAGTAACACTTCCCTAACAGGCGTCTCGCCAAGCTCAACAGTACCACACCGGAGTAGGAAGGGAAGAGTAACACCTCCCTAATTGGCGTCTCGCCTAGCTCAACGATACCACACTGAAGTAGGAAGGGAAGAGTAACATCTCCCTAATTGGCGTCTCGCCTAGCTCAACAGTAACACACTGGAGTAGGAAGGGGAGGGTAACATCTCCCTAACTGGCATCTCGCCTAGCTCAACTGTACCACACCGGAGTAGGAAGGGAAGCGGAGCATACTCGAACGCTATACCAGATACTGTCAACTAAGAGGTCATCTCTCTACACTTCGGGGGCCTAATGTGGTTCTCTATATCTCAAGGGTAATTAAAACTATTGAGTTAGGGGACCTCGCTTCCATATTCACTCAATCAAGACTTCCAAGTCCATAATAGTCCAGACTTAAAGGGTCTCTCCCTCTAAGCGTCGCTCACGACACCATAGACTGTAACATCAGGAGGGTCCCCTAACTAAACCCAACTCAATCCCTGCAAGAGTCCACCCTAGGCATATCACAACACTACAACTTATCAATCATATCTACAGAAGTTTATGTATTATTAACAACACATACAGCCATACAAGCTCAACGGGGAGATATCTTCCATCAACACCCGTAGCGCAGATACACAAATCCTCCAGTCCACCAACATAGTATGAATAGATAAAAGCAGTAGAAAGATAGTCCACCAAGCATATAAACATTGAGTACGAAATCTCATAAAGGCAGCAAGTCCAATAGATATATATTTAACTTCATAAGTATAGAGAATCATTAGATCTAGCCACCTATAATTTTCTTTAGCATGCATGCAAAACCAAGTGCACCTTACACGTATTACTTCCTAAATTCGTGTGGTTACTTACCGAATGAAGCGTGCCCTTCGAAGCTTACTCTACGTCTAATTAAGAGCTCTAAAACTCTTGAATGTTTGCTGACACGTCCTAAGTCAAGTTAGACTCAGATCAATATCAAAACCCGGATGACAAAATATCGAACGGAAGTCCAATAGGGATAAAAAATAGATCTCACACGCTGGATCACGCGCCCCACGCGCACAGACACGCCCGTACGGACGCACTGAGGGATGGAGTCGTGCGCTGGTCTGTCGCCACGTGGCGAGGGATTACTGTTCCACTGACAGTCACGGCGTGCGTTCGAATCGGGACGGTTCGGGTCGCACGCGGGTTCACGGGTCTGGTAGCGAGTGCCGATCTCCAAACCCCACCTTACGCAGTATTTTTCGTGATTTTCCTCCCCCATTCCACGCCTGACACGTGTCCAATTTTCTCGGCGACGCGCGGCTCTTTCCCTTCCTAACATGCGTCCATCCGACGTTCGTCTTCGTCCTCTCATTTCTGCGATTTTCCAGATTCTGGTAAAATTCTATATCAACTTATTTATTTTGGATATTTCTATCTCCCAAACCGTAACTCGAATTAAATCGATTCCTTCACAAGAATTCAAGATCTCAAGTCCACCTATCCAGATATATTTTTATTGTATTTTTTTAATACTCACAGCACTTCATAAATCAAGTTGAATACCAAAAAAAATTCAGTTTCTTACCGAAGGAGGACGGTTTCTCAATTTTGTTTTCTAACGCGATTTTTGGCCGTGTTTCCTCTGAAACTTGCAAAACTCCTCACCTAAAGTGTTGCAACTAGATTATTAAGGTCTAAATCATCTAAAACCCCCAGATTTATGGTGAAATCTTGAAATAGGAGAGGTCGTAGACTTACCTCGCATTCTTGCCCGTTTTTTTGCCGGAAATGAACTATCCAAGACTCAAACCATTCCTCTTGATACTCTGAGTAGCTCTAGTAGGAGACCTAAAATTGAGGGTACTTCAGTTTGGGTTTGGGGCGTTTCTCCCTCCTTCCTCTTCTTCAAACCCTGTTCATTTCTTCCTCTTCTTCAAACCTTGTTCATTCCTTTCTCTCTCTATTTTTATTATTATTTTTTTCTTTTCTTTTTTTTTTCCTTTCTTGGAGGTCTCTCCAGACCCCCCTCGGAAGGTGGTATGTGTGGGGCAAAATTACCTTTTTGTCCCTCATTGACTTTGACCCAAATTTCGATTACATTACCATCTTTCTTTTTTTCCTAAGTTGCTTGATGCATCTCGAGCATTTCTTTCTTCTGGACCGATATGAAAATCACACTCTAAGTCCTCCAATAAAATCTAGAAACTCAAAATGGATAAGAAGGTGCTAGTCACAAGGATAGAGCGAATTGTACCTATTAGGCTCAGGGTGTTACAAAATAAATAAATATATATATATATATATATATATATATATATATAACGGAGTCGTCGATAGGACCAAAAACTCCAGCGAACGCTGGAGTTTTTGTTCGCACACGACCCACAAAGGGCGGCCGAAGTCTGGGTCGCCAAGAAAACTCGATTCCGACCTCTAGCCACCCCAAGACACCTGCAAAGAAGAAAAAAATAAGTGAAAACGAAGAAGACAAAGAAAATCCGACGAAACTCCGGTGAGGCTTAACCCTACGAAATCGATGTCAATACATCCATTTTACGCAACAAAAGTAATCCCAGAGCCTTTTACACACGTCAGGGGTAGATTTAGACGAGTCCTACACATTGTACACCGTCGGCAAGGGAGACGGAACGTCAGATTCTGAACCCTCTCAAATTTGGGAGTGTGAGGCGTTTACGAACCAAACCAATACCAAAAACGGAATTAGGGGGGAGAAAGAGACTCGGGAACGGAGGACAAAAGAGGCAAAAAAAGACGTCGAAACGACATTAACGAGGAGAGAGAGAGGTCGCCGGAAAAACACGGGCAATCGGGTGAAGAAGACGAAGTCCGACCCGAGGGCCAGATCCCGCTACCCTAACCGAGTCCAACCACCGTAAGCCAGTCCAACACCCGACAACTCCCGCAGCCCAGTCGCCTCAGCCCAAACCCGTAAGCCTAATTACGGCCTAACCCATCAGCCACGACCCGAGAGCAAAAGAATTGAACCGACCCGAGACCCGCAAGCCCAGTCCAACACCCGACACGCACAGCCCAGCCCACCTACACGTTTCATACAGCCCAGGCCGGGCCGTCACCCGCGACGCAACCGAAAACCTACAAGTGACCCGACAACCCACGCCTCGACCCGAGATCGCTGCACACGCGTTGCCCTCTGGTTGTGCCACGTGGCACGTTTGCAGCACGACACCCCTCGGCTCCGGCGGCTTAATCGGCTCCGGCTCAGGAAACCTATTTTCGACCTGTTTGTCACCGTTCCGACCCTGCCATACTTAGTTTCGACTCCATTTAAGGTAAAATAGATCATTTTAAGGTAGTATTTCACAAATTCAAGTTGGAAATTAATTATGTTTGTGAAATACTAATGAAGGTGTCGAATGATCCAATAGGAACCAACCACCAACAGAAGCGTAGAACGTCTACGAGGAGCTAGGAGCTTATGTTTATATTTTAGGGAGTACTTCGACTAAGGCCTACCAAGTAAGTGGCTCAGCCGTCGTAGGTTATGCGTTATTTGTTGTATGTTGGCACGTGCCCGTGGATTCGCACGTGTCATTAAATTGTATGCTAGATTGATGTGCTTAAGTACGTAATCATGTGAACGTGAATGTATGCTATGTATGCTGTTTAGTCTGATGTGATATATAATGCATATGATGTTTATGTTGTTCTTGAATGATTATGACATAACTGTATGATATATTTGAATGTAAACCGTATGAATTGTATGACATGAAATACGGTAAACTGTTTGGAAATATAACCCGAATAGAAATATGTATGATACGTAAATTGAAAATGAGATATGACATGTAAGCATGAAATATGACAATGGGGTTATATTAATGACAAATGTAGAAGTAATGGGGACCTCATGCATTTGGGGGGATACCCCTATCTCATCACGAGGGTACGGACGCGTACATCCAATGGCAGGACAACGATCGTTATGCTTTGCATAGCGCTGCCGTGACGGTTACTAGTTCTAACGGGTGTCCGACATAAGGGGATCCTAGAGTATGCCCACCGGATAAGGAAAGTGGCCCAGTGGTGTGCAAACTAGCTGGTGAGCCCATACTCGCACGTATGGGCTGTGTGTAGAGTATATGGTACACGTCCAAAGTTACCCGTTAGGAAAGCACTGTAGGGAAAACGGAACGAAAGATAGGTCCCATCATCTCATTGCATGTGATTGTTGCATAACCCCGATAGGGGGTCACTTACTGAGTATTCTAGAAATACTCAAGCCTCGTGCTACTTTACTTTTTCAGATATGGGCAAGGCACCCATGTGAGAACGACGGCGGCATTGTACACCCCGGGACCGTGGCACATGCATAGGGTAGTTATATAGGTTAGTATAGGTTGAATTGTAATCGCATAAAAAACCATAGGGTAGTTTAAGACAATTATTTCAGTATCGTTCTTTTTCCTTTCTTTCTCTTGTATTCGTTTTTTTTTTCCACGAGGTGATAAAAGGCGAGTGTAAGTCGCATTTATGATAAGAGCCATTTAATGTAAATTTCACATTTAAGGTATAGTAATGACCTTAGATTGAATAAGTAAAATTTAGAGGCGTTACAGATAGCGTTAAGATACGTTCCTGTAACGATATGACTGTTGGTATTAATATAACACATGCGATGCAATTTGGATCTTAGGCACTTTTAGAACATATATAACACATGCTCCATCTATTGAGATCTCGATCGAATCTTCGTCCCTTAAATAAAGCTACAAGTGACGAGGGAATATATGGGGTATATATAAGAGATTATAAGACATCCCATCAATTAGAAATTGAATTTTGATCCTGAAATGGAAGAAATAAAAAAATATATATTTATACTTTTAAATTTGAATATTTAATCTAAATTTTTTTTAAACTTTAAGAATGTTCGTATAGTATTTAAAAAATATTTAAATTCTGTAAGTGTTTAATAAATATTTAAATTTTTGGCAAGTCAAAAGATCAATTAATATATAATTTTAAATTCCAAATTTGATGGATTATCTAAGTTTTTTTTAAAAAAAAAATTGTTTACGAAATTTTGAAAATAATACTTTCATATTAAATTTAAAATTTTAAAAGGAAATCCAAAAATATTAATAAATATAGTATTTGATATTATATTATATTCTATTATTATAACTTTTGCATTATCACTTTAACTCTTAATTCGGATTCGGAAGCAATAAGATTCTCTCTCTTTCTTTTGTTTCTAATTTTTGTGTGAAAAGTTCTTTTGGTCACTTTTTTTAATATGGAATCTTATCGTCGAAGCTCCATCAATAGTATGTCGGGGGAAGTTGAAGCGTCCAGTTTCAATCCCCAACAACTTCTCCAAATTTCATCATCGATTGAATCCATCAAACTCACATTGATAGCCCGAGTCATTTGCAGTCACTTCCTCATAGATGAAAACGACAATTCATTGTTGGTGAGACAACATGAATCCCGAAAGTTTTTCTTTCTAACTTATCAATTTCCTCTCAAAAACTTTGACGACGACAATTATGCAACCTTGCTACAGTTCTTATCATCCAAGTTTAGAAGTTACGATAACCGCATTCTTGATGCCAAAATTATCACAGACAAGATAAAAAATGGGTGGAGAACAATTAAAGAAACTGCATATTTAGATGGGGTTGGAAACGTTTTTCCTCTAACAGTTACACTGAAATTGTGGAATGTTGCAACCGGCTAGGTGAGCTCGTTCATGGATGATAGTGAAGACCTAATGGTTCCTACGAGCAAGTCACCAAATCATGAGTTTGTTGATGTTAAGATGTTGGAAGGTTCAATATTTGGATGATTGTGTTTGTATTTTCATACTAATATGAATAGGGCACGTGTGAATGTTTGCTGAATCCACCACACCTAAATGATGTGAAAGTTATCTTATTTATAATCAAATAAATTACAAGAATATGGAAATAGTAATAAATGGAAAGATACCTATGTTAATAAGGCAAATATCTAATATTTGCCTTATAATAAAATATCAAATATAATATATATGATAAACTATAATTTATTACTAAATATCCTTAACACCCCACCGCAAGCTGAGCGTCGGATTTGAATGAACGTGAAGCTTGGATCTGAAAAATTCAAAGAGAGATTAAGAAACACTTTTCGTGAAGATGTCAACAACTTGGTTCAGAGGAGGCGTAGAGAAACACTTTCTTGGCCATTGAAAATTGCAGAGGGATCGCCGCTAAGTGGCGATGCTGCCTTGGCTTCAGCAAGAATATGTCTAACCCATAAAGAGGGATTGTCGCTTAGCGACATGCTGTCTTGGCTCTGGTGAGAATATGTCTAACCCCAAGAAGTAGAAGGGGAAACCTAGAGCAAGGGACAAAGACAATGTTGAAGCCGGAAAAGTCGCCACATTGGGGCGAAGGAGCCAATTTTGGCGAGAAGGGTGGCGGCAACTTGGTTGGCGAAGATGCCAATGCGGCGCCCAGATTCCAAAGGTAAATCTCTGCAAAATGTCGATGGGCTTATTGAGATTCTGTATATTTCCGAAGAGAACGCTGATGAAGATCCTAAGATTAGGGTTTCTGTGAAGGATGAAAGGAAAATTGGGAAGAAAATGAAAAAGGCTATGTTTGGAAAAGGTGCGGTTGTATGTACGGAGTATGGCGAAGGATGATTTGGAGGTCAAAAGGGTGGAGCCGAAGAGTAATCAATCGGCTTTGCATGTGGCAACCATGACGACTGCCCCTGCGGCGTCAAAGCCAGTAGTGGTGGTGGAAAAGAATAGTAGAAGATTTCAAAAGCCATTGAAAAGAAAAGATCCAGGTTGCTAAACCAAAATTGCTCTGATACCATGTGAATGTTTGCTGAATCCACCACACCTACATGGTGTGAAAGTTATCTTATTTATAATCAAATAAATTACAAGAATATGGAAATAGTAATAAATGGAAATAACAATAAATGGAAAGATACCTATGTTTTATAATAAAATATCAAATATAATATATATGGTAAACTGTAATTTATTACTAAATATCCTTAACCGCACGAGATTGGAAAAAGAAAAATAAAATAAAAAGAAAAAGAAAGTTAAATCAGTTATGAAGAATACATGGTTGGTATCGTAGCTTTAGATTTATAGATTCTGTAGACTAGCCTACGAGGTAGGCTCAACATGTTTCCATGGTCCTACTGCTGGTGGTGGTGCACCATTGCAGTCAAGTATGCCTTACGAAAAATAATAAATGATGTGGTTTTGTTATGTTATGATTTACCTTGCATAGAATGTGTATGTTAATTGGTGTATTGATGATGTTTAGAATTAACAAGGTTTATATGGTGATACATAAATATAGTTTCATGATAGGAAGTTAGCAAGCTACTAAACACCCGTATACTGAAATGACTTTGTGAAGAAGGTTAGATGTCTCACTCAAATGGCTATAAAATAGAAGAAGAAATTTGTGGAGCCTTTTCGTTAGGGTTACAGGAAAATTGTTAAAATGAGACCTTGAAGATGTCTCGCAAAGAGTTCCCGGTGAAACTATTGATCTAGTTAATGGAAGAAAACAATCATCTTCAAGAAAGTGAGAATGTTGGAATGAAGATTGAGTAAAGTTTTCCAATATTAGTGTCATATGGATGTTGATTCCACTGCGCCACAGACCTACTAAATGAATATTATAACGTCTCTTATCATGACATAACATAGCATAGCATATCATTACTCAACATAGCTTATTGTAGCCTAATATTACATAACATAGTATGTCATAATATAACATAACATCGCATGACATGATTTATCATAATGACATATCATATCCTATCACAACATCTTATATTATATCATAACATAACATCACATGCAGGAGCCACGAGGCACGTATCATCACACATGACAATTCTTCTAACCAAAACAATGTAACCACTTACTTGGTTGGCCTAGGCCAGAGTTACTAATTTTTTTTTTTTTTTTGTACCTGTCTAACTCTCTCCTCAACTCTCAATTCAACCTCAAATCTATCCTTTTAATGATATCAATTAAAACTACTGCAAAGATCAACTCTGTACTAATTACCTTGTAGTCCAATCATTGAGGGTAAAAAATATCTCCACATCTACCTTATTTATTTATTTTTCAAATCAATTTTAGTTTTTCAATTTAGATTTAATATTTATTGAGATATAATCTAACACATATAAATGTCTACTAATATAACTGTGATTTCGCAGTATATTTGAAAATATAATTTATTATTATATTATTATTCATTAGTACAAACAACGATTTTATAATATATTTAAAAATATATGTTTGTTATAATATTATATTTACGAGTACAAATAATTTAAAGCTTTTCAGATTTTTTTTTTCTTTTTTTTGTACTGTTCAAATTTTTTTATTTTTTTTATTTTTTGATAAATGGCTACCACTCATGATGTGATTTCTAGAAAGTTGTTCTTGTAACGAAATTGATGTAATTTTGACGAAAATAGAGTATGAAAATTAACTTAGCGGGATTCCAATGACTAACCTCTCCTCTTATTAGAGCCTACATAACACATCAACCAAATGACTTGAACACTTACAACAATTCACATGATTTTGTGATCGACCTTGGTTGAGATTCAGCGAACATAATTGTTAACCTATTTTGTAATAGTCCAAAAAGAAATAAATAAACCAACATAATTATAAAAAAAATTACGTTTAAAAAACAAAATAAATAAATAAATAAATAACAATCCTTCTCCACTCCTCTCCACCCACTTATCATCCATTTCTATCTCTCCTCAACTCACTAAAAGGGTATAATGTTAGAAAATTAAGAGATTTTGAGAAAACAAAAATGCCTAACAACATATTTACAACAATACTACATATTTTAGAAATGCCTAACAATGCTACATAATTCTAGATCTTTTTCCCTTATGTTATAAGAAATAATGAGAGATCTCGTTCTTATCCAATTATTTTATTAGCATTTTAAATTAAAATCCAATATGTTGGAAGAAATAATTAGATCTTTTCTTATCTAATTATTTAGAATTTTGTTAATATTTTAAATTAAAATCACGTCCCATTAAAAATTGGTTCAGAAATAAGAAATTAAAATAAAATAAAATAAGAAAATATAATAGAAAATAGTTGGAAGTAAAAAATTAAGAAAATACAGAGACAAGAAAGAAAAACTAAATAAAATAAGGAAACACGGTAGAAATAGTTGGGGTAAGAAAATAAGTTCTTGTCATTTTATTTCCACGCCCTGGCTTGAACCTAGCCGACTTTTTTTTGTTCAATAAATCACAGATAAAATTATTGATTTTATTTGAATGAAACAAAAAAATTGAAACAACATAGAAAAAGATACATAGAATCAAAAGAAAAAGATACATAGAATCACAGATAAAATTGATTTTATTATTTGATTCCCATGATATAGAAAAAGATACAAGAAAAGTAAAATTTTGAGAATAAGAGTCCAATATCTAGGAAATAATTGGAAGTAAGAAAATAAGAAAAGAAAAGGTAAAATTTTGAGTTAGAATTGATTAATAAAATTGGCCAAAAATATCTGGTTTGGTTGGAGGAAAAGATTTGTTCAACAAAAACAGGAAATTTGAGAAGGTAGGAAACTCCATCAAAATGTTGTCCACTGACTATATCTTCCCTAAACAGTGAGAATAGAAAATAAATATTTAACGAAAATATATATATATATATATATATATACTCTAATCATAAAGTCTAATCCATGAACTATTTTAAAGTTTAGAAAATTGAAATTGATGTCATGGTTCATATAGGTTGACTTTGATACAAAAGATAAAATCGAACATTTTTTAAGGATAAATTTGTGACATCCGCCTAAGCTAATCAGGTAAATGGCTTTACTATCAGAATGGTTATATTTGATGTTGACATGTGCCTGTGGTTTTGTACGTGTCATATATATTGATACGTGTGAATTATTTGTGAATCGATAGACTTATGTTATGTTATGTATATGTTATAATATGTGAATTGTATGATGATATTTACAATACGATGTGTTCAATGATATGTTTGAGATACGATACGAGAAGCATGCACTAAACGTAAAGTAATAATAGAAGTAAGATATGTACAAAAAACGTTAAGGTTAGGTTACGTGTTGAAGTGCTATGGATATGAGAGATTGATAGAAACAATATAGTCACAATCAATTGATAAATGAATACGATTAGGTTATGGGTAGAAATAGATAGGATTATGATAGATTGATAGAACAATAGCATTAGGATACGTTCCTGTAACGATATTACTAAGGTACATCCATGTAACAATATGACTGTGATATGTATAACAATGTTAAAGCTATAATAAGTTAGGGAACGATATGACCATGAAGTGTTTACGATATGATATGATTATGGTACGACATGTGAATGACGGATATATATGTTGTCATATGATATGAAAATGATATGAAATATGTTATGGTATGAGATATGTGATAAATTGACAGGTTTATGATATGATATATTGTGATGCGATATGTTATAGTATGAGATGTATATGAGGAGATGTTACGTTAAAAACATGGAACGTTATGTTATGTCTCTTAAATTGTATGTACACAGCATGATATGAATGACATGAAATCACGATAAATGACATAAAATCTAACCCCGTTATAGTTATGTGTGATATGAGAACTGAAAAATGAGAAATGTTATGATAGGAATGATAAACAATATGTGAAATGATATGAAAAACGACATGATATGTACGTAACGTTAGCAGGGTTGTATTAAATGATAATGAAAATGGAAAAATATTGGGACCTCATGCATTATGTTTGCTCATGCATTGAGGGATACTCCTGTTCCATCAAGAGGGTACGGACACGTACACCATTAAGCAGGTGAAGTATCATTATGTTTTACATAATGCTGTCATGACGGTTACTAATTCTAATGGGTGTCCAGTATAAGAAGAGTTATCAGAGCAGGCTCGCCCGACAAGAAAAGGGGCCCCCAACGGTGTGTGAACTGTTTAGTGAGCCCATACTAGCACGTTTAGGCTGTGTGTAAAGTATATGGTACACATCCAAGCTGCCCATTAAGATAGTGTCATAGGAAAAGAGATTTGATATGATAGGTCTGTCATTGCATTCAAATGTTCTTGCATTTAACCCCCGACAATGGGGTTACTTATTGAGTATTTTTTAAAATACTCAAGCCATGTGCTAACTCTATTTCAGTTTAAGGAAAGACATTCCTATACCGTTGACGATGACATCGCAACTCGAGACCATGACACATGCTTAGGATAGTTGTATTTATTTTATTAGACTTAGACTAGAATATGATATTTTTAATTTAAACGTTTATTTATTTTATTTAGTCTTTTGTTGTGTCCTTTTTCAAGGTGTTTCCAAAACACTTAAGTCTATAGTTGTGTTTTAAGATGAACGTGACTTTTTATGAAAGTTTAAATGAAGTATTTCCGCATTCGATATTTATGATAGGTATACAATAGCGATCTTAAATTAAGTAAAAAATTTCATATCGTTACATATTGTCGTTGAAGGAAGATTTGAGATGAAAAGCAATCGATGAAAACTCTTGCAAGGGAGGTAGAAACGTTATACAATAGACTGTTCCTCTTGTCATGATTTTGGAGAGGAATCAACTCCTTCCCTAAACCACATGAAAATGAGGGGAGGGGAGGATGAGCATAACTATTTAGGGAAGGAGAACATTTTAGGGAGGATGAGCATAACTATTTAGGGAAGGAGAACATTTTAGGGCCAAAGATTTGAAGGGGAAGGAGGGTAATATTCTAACCAATTAAAAAAAAACAAATATATATATATATATATCTCAATTTTATATGGTGCTGCAAAGATAGTTTCATGATAGGAGGTTAGCAAGCTACTAAATACCTGAAAAATGACCTTGTTGAAGAAGGATAGAAGTCTCAATCAAACGCTTACAAAATAGAAGAAAAAAATTGTGGAGCCTATGGTTATAGGAAAATTGTTAAAATGAGACCTTGAGGACGTCTCGATAAAGAGATCAATTATTGAATGTTTAGCAAAGTTTAGAGAATTTGACTTGAAGGACAATGCAGTGCATGAAACTAGTAAAACTATTGATCTAGTTGATGGAAGAAAACAATTATGTCGAAGAAAGTGAGAATATTAGAATGAAGATACAGTAAGGTTTTCCAACATTAGTGTCCATACGAATATTGATTCCACTTGGCCACAAACCCACTAAATGATTTTTGTTGTTCATGATGTTTTAAGAGAAGGTTCGATATGACATGATAAGATTATGTATAAAATTTGGTAGTAATTATATTATGATAAGGGACTAAACCAAGGGCTAGGTGTAAAATGACTAAAATGCCTCTATAATTATGTACCTAGGTTAGGACTCGAGTAACTTCTAAATGACATGAAATTTGATAAGGAGCCTTATGTCATGGTTTAAAGAGATTATACAAAGTTATAATGCCATTGGAATATATTGAGTATAACGACCCTAAAATTTCCCTAGTTAATCTAAGGTCATTACTATATCATAAACGCAAAAATTACTATATCATAAACGCAAAAATTACTTTAACGTCCATACATTTATGCAGAATTTACTTTAAATGGACTCCTATTATAAATGCAACGTCAATTTGCCATTTACCACCTCATGAATAGACAAATACAAGGGAAAGAAAGGAAAGAAAAAAAAAAAACAATTTTGAATTAAACACCCTATGCTAACCTATAGATTATTAATGCAATTACAATTCAACTTATACTAACCTATACTAATGATGCAAATGGAAATTCAACCTATACTAACCTAATACTATGAATGCAAATGAAATTCAACTTATACTACGAACAAAAAACAACTATCCTATGCATGAGCCACAGTCACGGGATGTGCGATGCTGCTGTCGGACTCACATGGGTGCCTTGCCTTTATTTGAAAAATATAGTAGCATGAGACTTGAAAATTTCTAGAATACTCACTAAGTGATCCCCTATCGTGGTTATGAAACAATCACATGCAAATGAGATGATAGGACCTATCTTTCAATCTATCTTCTTACGGTGCTGTTCTAACAGGTAATTTGGATGCGTACTATATACTCTACACACAGCCTATACGTGTGAGTATGGATTCACCAGTTAGTTCGCACACCACTGGGCCACTTTCCTTGTCGAGCGAGCATACTTGGAGCTCCTTAGGCCAGACACCCATTAGAACTAGTAGCCGTCATCTTTCAATCTATCTTCCTACGGTGTTGTCCTAACGGGTAATTTGGATGTGTACCATATACTCTACACACAGCCCATACGTGCGAGAATGGACTCACCAGTCAGTTCGCACACCACTGGGCCACTTTTCTTGTCGGGCAAGCATACTCTGGGAGCTCCTTAGGCCGGACACCCGTTAGAACTAGTAGCCCTCATGGCAGCGCTATGTAAAACATAACGATCGTACCCCTGCCCTTGGGTGTACGCGTCCGTACCCTCGTGATGGAATAGGGGTATTCCCCAATGCAATAGCACACATAATGCATGAGGTCCCCAATATTTCTACTTTTATCATTAATGAATATAACCCCGCTATCATCTTTCATGCTTAACATATCATTTCTGATTTTTCAGTCTACGAATCATACGTAATCTTAACAGGGTTCCATTTCATGCAATTTATCGTGATTTCATGTCATACATTTCGTGATGTTTACGTTCAAAATTATAGTACCATTCATGCTAGAATCATCCAAAAATATCATAAACGTCATAAGCACAACACATCACATCATACTAAACAAAATACATTCATATTTCACAAGCTTACGTATTCAATTATAACAGTCTAGCATACAATTTAATGACACGTGCGAATCCACGAGCACGTGCCAACATACAACATACAACACGTAACCTACAACGGGTGAGCCACTTACTTGGTAGGCCTTAGCCGAAGTACTTCCATTGGTGAGTTGTTCCAATTGGATCATCTGACACCTTCGTTAGTATTTCACAAACATAATTAATTTCCAACTTGAATTTTTGAAATATGGCCTTAAAATGATCTATTTTACCTCAAACGGGGTCGAAATCAAGTTCGAGAGGGTCAGAGCGATGTCGAACAGGTCGAAAATAGGTTTTCCGAGTCGAATAAGCCATCGCCGAGCCAATTGAGTCGTCGAAGCCAAGGGCTTTTTGCGGCAGAAGCTGACACGTGTTACAATCAGAAGGTGATGAGTGTGCAGACGGTCTCGGGTCGAGGCGCGGGTTGTCGGGGTGCAGTCGTGGGTCTGGGCTAAACTCTACTGTTAGGCCGCGGTTTGTTTCGATGGACCGAGGGTTAAACGTTTGGCCAAGAGGGTTTGGGTTGTAGCTTCGGGTCGCGGGTGACAGATTAGGCCGAGGCGCAAACCAGGCTAGGTCGAGGCAATGACTGTCTTTGGGCCGAGCGGGTTTTAGGTCAAGGGTCGAAGCTTGGGTTGGACTTTGTCTCCCTCACCTAATTACCAGAGAGTTTTTCGGCAACTCGATCTCTCTCCTTGATCACGTCGTTCCGACGTCCTCTTTCCTCCTTTTTCCTCTGTTCTCGAGTCTTCTCCTCCCCCTAATCCTGTTTATGGTGTTTGTTTGGTTCGTAAGGGCCTAACACTCTCGGATCTGAGAGTGTTTAGAAATCTGACGTTCTGTCTTCCTTACCCGACGATGTACGACGTGTAAGCAACGTCGAAATCTATCCCCGGTGTGTGTAAAGGTCTCTAGGATTGTTTTCATTGCGAAAATCAAAGGTTTCGACATGGATTTCGTAAGGTTTGGCTTCCCCGGAGCTTCGTAGTTGGTTTTCTCTCTCTCTCTCTCTCTCTCTCCCTCTCTTTTCTCACTATTTCTCCTTCTTGTAGGTGTCTTGGAAGTGGCTGAAGGTCGGGTTTGGTTCTCGTGGTGATCCCGACGTCGGACGCGCTTTGTCGGTCGTGTGCGAACGAAAACTCCGATGTTTGCCGAAGTTCTCGATCTTGCTGACAACCGCGAAATTTTTTTTTATTATTATTTTATTTTTTATATTTGATCCGTTAATTGATGATTTAAACTAAGATTTTGGGGGGTAAATTGTAACGACCCTATTTTCCTACTGAAATAGAGTCGCTACCATATACATGACGTACCCCTTTTTATGCCGAAACATTCATTTTAAATAGTTCATAAATGTCATGGACTTACACGTTAAAAATAAAATCCTTAAACCAAACCAACAACATTTAAGAAATGAAAAATAAACAAATTAACGAAAACTAGGAAATAAAACATTGTCCTATACTAATCTAAGACTAATATTCAAAATAAAAATGTAGCTACCTTAGTACCGGTTTCATGATCTCTAACACGACGGCGT